AGTTAGGGAGTAATACTGTTGGGTTAGGTACAGTAGGAGAGGAAGTGTTTGTTAAAATTGGTGATGTGGAAGTAGGTAGAGTAGGAGAAGTAGAATGAGTAATAGGGGATATAGGTACAGTAGATGAGGAAGAGAGAATAGGTAGATTATTTTGGACTGGGATCGAGTTGTCAGGCATAGGGAAAGGCGATTGATGAGATTTGAATGGAAACTCTGTTTCATTAAAGGTGACATGTCGTGATATGTATAACCGACATATAAGGGAAAGGCATTCGTAGCCTTTATGGATGCTGATGTACCCAAGAAATATACATGGGTGGAACGAGGTTGGAGTTTGTAGTTGTTATAAGGTCGAATGCATGGGAAACAAAGACAACAACCAAAGGTTTTAGGAAAAGATAGGATGATTTTTTATGAAAGAGCTTCTCTAGTGGACTAATTATTGAAGTGTTGGTGATGGGAGTCTATTAATGAGATAGACAGCCGTTGAAAATTCATTGTCCCAGAATTCTCTAGGCATTGAGGCTTGAGAGAGTAGGGTTGGGTCCATTTCAACAATGTGACGATATTTGCGTTCTACAATTCCATTTTGTTGTGAGGTATATGGGCAAGAAATTTGATGTTCTATTCCATTTGACTTTAGGTATTTAGTAAAGGCTTGGAACTCACCTCCACCATCAGATTGGAAAGTTATATGAGAATTAAGTCGTTTTTCAATCAAGGTTTTGAATTGTATAAAGGCTAAGAATGCTTGAGATTTATTTTCGAAAAAATAGATCCAAGTATATTTGGTGAAGGCATCAATGAAGGTAATATAGTATTTATAGTTGTCTCGGGAGGTTTAAAAAGCTGGTCTCCATAGGTCTGAAACTACTGATTGGTGAGGTGCAGTATATATAGTTTGAGAGGGAGAAAAAAGAAGACAATGGCTTTTGCCAATAGGACGTGCAAAAGAAAATGAGTACTTTTTATTAATATGAATTTTGGGGATACAATCATGAAAAACTTTTTTTGTAATTTCAGTAGATGGATGGCCTTACCTACTACGCCATATATCTATAAGAATTACAAGTCAGTGGAATGTAGGATTGAAAAGGGACAGTAGTGTGAAGGATGTGGCTTGGAAATGAAAAACCTTTAGACTCTGGTGACGATGCTGTTAACTTGAATGAATAAGGTCCATCGTGGAGATTTCTTTGTAGGAGGATTATACCAGATGCTTGGTCTTTGACAAAGCAAACATTTGGGTTAAATTCAAAATAAACTTTATTTTCTTTGCGAATTGGCTAACACTAAGTAGGTTTTGGTCACTGAAGGAACATGTAGGAGATTATGTAAATAGAAGATATGATTTGATGGAGTAATAAGGGAAGATGAGTCAGAGTGGGTTATAAACAAACCTGCCCCATTAGTCGTATGAATCTGCGTCCATCTGTGAATTCTTTGCTATTTGTGATGTTGTTCATGTCATTGGTGACATAATTTGTTGCACCCGAATCTGGATACTAGTTAGTATCCTTGTTTAATTCAGGTGTCATTAGCATAGCTGACATATTTTGATGTTGAGGATAGGCATTTGAATGATGCGGTCTAATATTATGAACACTTCCTGAGTTTGGTAGATTTGGTACTCGAAAGTAGCACCTATCAGCTGTGTGGTCGAATTATGACAAATCTGAAATTGTACCCTATTTCTTGCACCTATCATAGTATTGTGAGTTGTGGGATCTATGGTTATCATTTTGTGGAGCTGTATTCTACTGATGTTGCATGAGATTTGATCCTTTGGGGTTTGCACTGTTGAGTCTTTTTCCATTCTACTTTCAATGTGATAGAAGTAGTGATGTGACTTCTTTGATTGAAATTGAGCTTGTTTTGGCTGTGATGATAGAACTAGTGGATTCGAATTCTGGTCCCAATCCTGATAATATGTGATCTTTAGTAGTGATAGCTTTGCATGTCACTTTCAACGAGTCAATGAGGTTCTTAACTTGGCGCATGTATTCTTTCAAGCTAAGATTGCCTTTGCGTATATTTTGTAACGATATATTTTCAAGCTAAGATTTGGGGAGAACATGCAATAATTACTTCCTAATCTTCTGAAAACTCGATGGATTTTGACGTCGCCAATTTCCTCCACCCACTCAATGTTGAGATCTCATCATTCATTTAAGTCCTCAAGATTGGGGAAATCCTCCACCCACTCAATGTTGAGATCTCATCATTCATTTAAGTCCTCAAGATTGGGGAAATTTAGTCGTGAACGTATGCCATAGCTTATAGGTGGTGCAATCGTGGCAGCCGGATGGTGAAACACGAACAAAACATTATGGGAGGTTCATTTTTTTTTTTAAAGCTATTGACCAAATTAACAATTGGCAATGGGAGGAGTAGCCTATGTATATATATTATAGATTTTAATCGAATCCCATTTTTGGATGGGATGGTCGTTTGAGTGTTTTTAGTTCTGATACCATATTAATAGAGATGAGATTCATCTCAGAACTAATTAGGAATGAGAGTTGTAGTTCATCTCTATTATAAACTATTATTAGGTTCTTTATCTTTTTAACGTGGGATCCGTTAATCTCATTCTCATTCCTCATTCTACGTGCTCTACATATTTATTATATATACTTTACAACTTTTATTCTTTCTTTCTCATCTATTAATGTTATACTACTTTTTTCTTGTAATAAAGAGTTTATACAATTTTATTAGTCGATGTGATTTTATTATAAAATGTTATAATTAAAATTATATATATGTTTTTTTAATTCTATTTTGTTATTTTTAATCCTCCGCCTCCTCTTGGAGGATTGAAGTTAGAAGGTCGCTAAAAGATGAAGAAATTGCTGAATATATTGAATTATTGGACAATCTGAATTTGGTTTTGTTAAATGATGAAGACACTTTCTTGGAATCTGAATAAAAATGGGATTTTTCTGTCAGCTCCTTATGTAACTCTAAGGCTCCCTCTGCTGCATTACCACGAGATTTTTACTCAAAGCTATGGAATTCTGGTAGCCCCAAGAAGGTTAATGTCCTCTCATGGATTCTTATGTTTGGCAAGGTCAATACAACTGAAATTATGCAAAATCATCTGCTTGTGTTTTTTTGTGTAAACTCAAGCGAAAATCAGCTGCACACTTTCTTTTTCTGCCCATTTGCAGCAACCTGTTGGTCTGCCTTTTTTGGTATCTTCAAYCTACCTTGGGTTATGGACAAGTCAGTCTCGAACTTGGTTTTTCAGTTRCTGTTTGGTCTACACATGAATCCTARAGCTACATTACTTTGGGTCAACGGTCTTAAAGCCCTTATTTATRAAWTATGGTTCRAGCGCAATCAAAGGACCTTCGAAGGGYTAAAAAGGCATCCGTTGGAATGTTTTCACATTGTCAAATTCAAAGCTTCTCAATGGTGTGCTCTTTCCAATCTTTTTGTCAATTACTCACCTAGCATGATTGATTCTAATTGGGATGCTTTTAGCTCTCTTTTGTAATTTTATTTATTTTGTTTCAACTTTATGTGCTTTGTATTCATTTTTTTTTGGCTTTTTATTTTCATTTTTTTATTTTTTATCTTTCTCACTCCTTTGGAGTTTGTATCCTTGAACATTTTATGTTGTTTTTCATTCATCAATGAAAAGTTCGTTTCCTGTTAAAATATATATATATATATATATATAAAATTCATTATTAATAAATATTATAATAATATTTTATATTAAAGGATGGTTGTTCTAATAAAAAATTATTTTATTTGATCTAATTTTATTTTAATTATTCATTATTTATTAATATAAAATAAATTGTTATAATAAAAAAATATTTACTAGCAATAATATTATAATAAAATAAATTTTAAAAATGTATTATTATTGTAATTTTTCAGTACATTTATTATTATTGTAATTAAAAAAAGATTAGTATTTTTTCTATTTTGAAAAAAAAATTAGTATTTGTAATTAGGTAGAAAGAAGAAAATGGTATACTAAATTTGATTTTGATTCCAATTTTAGATAGTCTTAGTAAATAACATAAAAAAAAATTTCTGATTACAATTTCAAAAAATTTACGATAAAGAGAATAACATTATTCTTGGTAATAAGTACAGGCCATTTTGAACTTCGACTCCTGACCAAAGTTTTAAATATAGATGTCCATGAAAATGTCGAGGTCTCAATTTCATGGAAATGTTGACGGAAATATCAATAAAATGTCGATATAGATGGATATTTCTGTAAAAGTTAGAAAAATTAAAAAAATCGTAAAAAATATTTAAATGAACAAACAAACATTTTTCTGTTTTTAAATTAGTTAAAAATAATTAATCTTAATATTATGTATATATTAGTGATATCTTATTGATATTTTTCATATTTTATGTACTGGAAATGTCGATTTACAATTCGTGTCGATGTCGAACCTATGAAAACATGAATATGTCGGATATTTAAAACCATACTCCTAACATATCTCGACCACTTTCCAAACTTACACGCAGGTGTTGAAATTCCCCCTTAGTAGGCGTGGGCAATATCACTAAATTTTCAAAAGCTGTTGAAATTTAACGAAGGTATTAAATATCGAGGCCAAAACAACACCCCGAGTCTCAACGATTTCACCATATAATTCTTAAAAAGTTCTCGAACCTTTTCAAATCAAATCTATTAGATTTGTTCTAAGAATTTGTTTTTTCAAATCAAATCTATTACCTAAATTTCAAAACTACTAGATAAAAATAGAGGATTTGAAATTCTAAAATTGCAATATAACATTTTAATACTTAATATTTTGATAATTTACTTAAACTAACTCATATTTTAGATTTGGAAATGTTGTAATCTAATCGGCAACCGGGTATATTTGAATCTTTCAAAAACTTACTTGTGCTTAATTTTCATCACTTTTATTTCATATTTCTACATATTTTGGTTTTGTTCCATGCTTAAATCCAATTTTATTGCTTTTATTCTAGAATAATTTGGCCTTCTCCAAATGTCGAACTTGAAGAGGAAGAAGATGGAAGAAGACGACAGAATCAGCCTTCTCCCAGATTGTCTTCTTCGTCAGATTCTCTCCAACATAAACATAAAACAAGTTGTCCAAACTTGTGTTCTTTCAAAACGGTGGAAAACCCTTTGGACTCATATCCCCGCTCTCAACTTCTTGGATGATGGCTCCTACGGTAGAGTTCATTCTAATCACAAACCAACATGTTTTAAGCACTTTGTCATCAGAGTTTTATCTGAACACCGCGGTGAACATATTCAAAAACTGAGTTACGTTGGACATGATGACCTTTTAGCAGAGTCATTGATATGTCATGCACGGCGCCACAATGTTGGAGAAATTTACATCCATACCTACGTTAATGGTTTTCGTAACACGAAACACTGTTTGTCGGGATGTTCATCGCTCACTGTGCTGAAGATTTCATGTGGGGTTGCGGATTACTTGGGAGCCTTGGCATTGCCATCCTTGAAAGTTTTAGAGATTGTGAATCGTCATTGGCCGGAGGATCAGAACGTGAAGAAGAATAATCTTGATGCTAAATTTGAAGACATGTTCTCCGGCTGTCCAAATTTGGAATCTTTGGTTTTGAGTCACCATATTTTTAGGAGTGCTACCATTTGTGCTCCAAAACTTTACAACTTTGAATTGTGTGTTTCTTCTATTTGGGGGTTGACTTCGCACAAACTTGAGTTACGTACACCCAATCTCAAAAGTGTCAAGTTTAGCAATGTTTTACCCACTATGATCATGTGTGATGATTCTGACTTTTCCTACCTACACAAAGTGAATATACAAGTTGAAGATTGTTATTTTCAACCCATATCAAAAGGCAAAGACTCAAGTAGTAGAAAAAATTTGATTCAAAATCTCATTGAGTTGCTTAGAGTGTTTCGTAATACAAGGTGTTTCACACTACCTCTGAATTCATTACAGGTATATATATAAATCATAAATTCCATCTTCCATTTTTTCTTGTGCATTATAATTGTTAAGGGTAACGGTATTCTAAGTACCAATGTTATGATATTCGTTTTGGGCATAATCCACTTTGTTAGCGTTACCTTGCAAACCCAAGGATATTTTGTCTATGCATTTTCCCAATTATAATTTTTTTTTCTTCTTTTTTTTTGTTAATAAGTTTGTCAGGTGGCCACTTCCTAATTTAAAACATTTGAAGTTGAAAACAAAGATACCCACCAAGGGGACTGCCCTAGACATTCCAATTAGTATATTGGCGTATTTACAAAACTGCCCCAATTTAGAAACTTTGGCTGTTCTTAATGAGGTAATCCTTGTCTAATCTCTTAATTTTGTTATCAAGTAATTAAATTATCTATTTACATCTTTCACATGGATTTACAGGACGAGGAGATTCCTTTATCGAAGAGAAAAGATTGGCGTTTCTGATCAATGCCTTGCACAGATCGGAGGAGGTTCTCTTCAGTAGGTTTTTTCTTTTTTCTTTGTTCTTCATGGGTGATTTTTAGTAATTTCATACTTAGGGTTATATGCTTATTTTAGTCTTTTATTTTGAATTATAGCTTAAAAGGGTTCTTAGTTATTTTCTTCAGCTTCTCTTCTCCTCTAATTTTTTATGAAATCCAGTCACATGGTGGATAATACTAATGAACATGTTACTCTTATTGACATTTAGAATAAAGATATATATGTTGCAGGAGAAAATTGAAGATACTAATACATTTTCAAAATTTTCTTCTTATTAATCCAATGATGTTTTCTGTTTCTTTTTAATAGAACACGATATAGAGTTGGTGTATTTGAAGCACGAGTTTGAGTTGAGTAAAGAATTCTATTAAACGATATAGAGTTGGTGTAAACACGATATACACGATATTAGTGTATTGTTATGTAGATGTATCATTTCGCCTGCATTTGGCTCTAAACACAGAATTCTATTAAAAAGAAATATAAAAGAGATCAATCAAAGATTAAACAATAAAATAAATTAGTTATGAGCTTGCTTGAGTGCAAATGGGTATGGATTTTATAGATATGGTTTGTTAAATAATATTTCTCAAACCCACCGAAGAAACTCCTTGAAGGAAAGTCTCTAGTATCAATATCCATGGGGTTCCATCTCAAAACCAATTGGCAATGAAAGAAGTAGCCCATGTCTATTATAAATCTACGTAAGGTCCCTTTTTTTATCAATGTGGAATCTTTAACATCTAAAAGCCACCATATTTGGTATAAATAGGTAAACCATCCCATAAATTAGTTATGGTTGGGCTAGCTATAAATAGGTGAACACCCATATTTGGTAAACCATCCCAAAAATCTTTAGAGCAAGTGTGAGCGTGAGACTTTGTGAGATAAGGATAGATTGAGTTTTTTCGTAAGAGATATTTTGTTCTCCATGATAAAAGAAAGTTTGTAACTCTTCTTCCTTGCCCGTGACTTTTACCCTAATTCATTTAGGGGTTTTCCTCGTAAAATCACTGTGTCATTTTCTTCTTCATTGATCTCTATTTTTTTTTATCAGATCAAGGGAGATAAATAAGATGGTCGAAGGATGGATATCCCACCAACCTATTCATGGTATTTTTTTAGATGCGTGACTTGAGAGAATTGTTTGTTAATTATCTCTGTTTAATTAGGATTACATTGTAAAAGTGTTTCTTAATCATTGAGAGATCAACGATCATATTTTGAAGTCATTTATGATTTTGCAAGCGGTTTTAACAGTCAAAGAAACCTACATTTTAGCATAGATCCAGCCTTAACCTCGGAAGTTTTCTCAAGGATTTTCTCTATTCATAAGCATCTGGTTCCCCGTCCCTGCGAAATTAAGGAATTTTGTAGGAATTCGAGCGGGGATTTCTTATTGAGAATTCGTGGGATCCACCGAAAAATTTTCCCAATTAAATATATATTTAAAGTAAAATAAAATTAGACTTTTAGAGTATTTTGTTTTAATGTGTAATGGATTGTAAAAGCTTTATTTAGAAAAGGATGCTGCTCATCACTTGAAACTTTGGACCACCCTGTCTCTCCACTGCTCTGCTCATTTACTGCAGCTTTGCATTTGGAACTTGTTCTTCTCAACTTTTAAGATCTCTTTTGTTTTGCTCGGTCGTGTATTGATGCCTTCATCACAAAATGTCTCTCTATCACTCCTAAAAATAGAAGTCTCAATATCTGGAGTAATGCAATTGGTGCCGTTCTTTCCCATATTTGATGTTCTAGATCCATCACTAGCCTTATGATATATCTACCATTTCTCGGAGCGCTTTCTGCTTGATCTCCCTCTCCCTTTTGTATGTTTCTCACATACCCCTAACAAAATAGTACTCTTTTCTCAAAAAAAAAAATTATATATGTATATATATATTTAATGTATTATATAGTATTTTTTATGTTTATTCAAACTACAAACAAGTTCTTAAGTCAATTTGATGGAACTATACAAAGTTTAAATAGCAACGAGAAAAAAAAAATGTAATCTATATAATAGCTTAAATAAAATGTTATTATAAGTTTAAGGTAGCATGCAACCAAGGTATAATAACTATTTAATAGCGATAAAAAGAATCTATTACAAGTTTGACAGCATAATTTATTATTCCTATATACCATATGATAACATAAACAAATGGCTATTCTAAGTTTAAGATAACACAAAGAAGGAGCATCTAACCAAATCCAGTTGTGCATGCAAGGGCTGCCACTTAATTTTTCTGGATATCACCTCTAAGGATCCGTTTGATAAACCATCTCATTTTCAGTTTTCAGTTTTTTATTTTTAGTTTTTGAGAAACATGGTTGATAATTAATTCAATTTTCAGTAAAAAAAAATAGTTTTTAAAAACTGATTTCTGTTTTTTAAAATTTCATTTTTTTTCTTCTAATACTAACTTTTTCACATATTTATCTCTACCAAAATTCTTTCTCACTCTAAATTTATTTTGTTACTATATGATTTATAGTAATTTTTTTATTATAACAATTTATTTAATATTAATAATAATGAGTACTTAAAATAAAATTACTGACTTGAGCATCGGAGTGTATTAGGTGGGACACCGCACTGGCCTCGAGTTTTCTGGTTGCAGACTCATTTGTTCTTTAACGAAGCCACTCGTCCAAGGGACACATGGACCTCTTCGAAATTCGCCGTCAATAGTTGGCGCTGTTTGCGTGGAGAAGACATTTGATCTTATTCATACTAGTTATTCGTATTTTCTAACTATGGTTGATGACTGCATTTGATATACGTGGATATATTTACTCCGGAAGAAATCAGATGTCTTAGTCATAATACCTCAGTTTTTTAAGCTTGTGGAAAATCAGTATAATAAGACCATTAAGTCATTTAGGTCTGATAATGCACCAGAACTTAGATTTGAGGAATTTTTCAAGTCTAAAGAAGTCTTGCATCAGTTTTCTTAATTACGTAGTTGAACGAAAAAATCAGCATATTCTCAATGTTGCCCGGGCCTTATATTTTTAGTCACGAGTTCCGCTTCATTTTTGGGGTGAATGTGTGCTTACTGCTATTTTTTTGTCAATCGCACGCCATCTCGATGTCTTACATTGGCTCCTTATAAATTATTACATGGTTCTCCTCCTGATTTATTCTTCCGTGCGGGTGTTTGGATGTTTGTGTTTGTGTTTTGCTTCTTATCTGCCAGACCATTGATCTAAGTTGTTAAGTAATTCAAACCAAATTACAAAATCTGTAAATCTTCAATGAGAGGTGGTGTTACAGTGAGAACTAAGAGATGCATAACTAGAAAAGTCTAGTTATAAGATCCGGAGATTTTGGAAGTTGAGGTCGTTAAAAAACTCTTTCATTAAAGCTCTTATTTATTATTGAAAATAAATAGGAAAATTGGTTTATTTATTTGGTAATAATAATTAGTTTGGGCTCGAGAGATAGTTGAGATTTGATAGTTCTTAACCTATAAAATATTAATAAATAATTTGTTCATAGACTCTGTTGGAATCAATTCTCAGAACCTTTCTTTCCATTGATTTTATCTGTCTTCTTGCATTTTTTGTTTTCTTTTTTCTTTTTTTGTTTTTGCTTTTATTTACTCCGGATATAATTCTCTTAAATAAAGTTGAGCAACTGAGCCAGAAACCCATCCAAATGACCATATCTATATTTACTTAGCAAATATATTACAACTGTAAGTGTAGACATGCATTAAACAATTTCTGTTACACTCACCTAGATTATAATTGAATTAGAATTGGATAAAATCCTGCTCCAAACAGAGATCACATCTAAACTAACTAGAAGATTTCGTTGAATCATTTGGTTACTTAATGAATTTTTTTTTTTTGTCATTGGAATCTTCTCCTTTTCGTTGTCAAAATCATAAATAGCTGTCATGAACTTAATTTATTGGCAATTGACGAGAGATTCAAAAATAATAAATAGCTTTGGCCAAATAAACCTCCCTTCTGCCAAACCGAGCATAGCTCAAATGGTTAAGGCACCTATGATTAAGAGGACATGAGTTCGAACCCCCCACCCACATGTTGTATCAAGAAAAAAAATAAAAAAAATAAACCTCCCTTCCTTCCCATTGGTGCCTTTCTTTGAAGCCTTCCCATATTAAAACAGCACAATGATAAATGATTTTCAAAATATCACTGATCTCACAATGATTAAGAAAGACGTTTACAATGTAATCCTGAGTAAAACAATAGAAAATTAACAAGTAATTCTGAAGTCCCACCGCTAAAAGATACTTAAAATAGTTTCGAGTTATTAGTTTATTTTATTGTTTAAACCTTATTGATTTCTTTTATAGTTATTTGCAACAAAATTCTCTTTTGTAGTGTTCAGAGCCAAATGCAGGGCCAAATGATACATCTACACAACAATAAAATAATACAATAATGTGTATTCTTTACTTAACTCAAACTCATGCCTCAAACTCACGAACTCTAAACAAGTGAGGTTAGAGATTCGAATTCATGACCTTAGACATATGCCAATTACCACCGTTGAACTAAGCAACACATATCTTTATTTATATGGCATAAAGTCATAAATTCAATTAGAGTAATATGAATGAATGAAGTACATAAAAAATGAGAGGAGAAAAGAAGCTTAGAAAATAACCAAGAGTCCTTAGCCTATAATTCAAAACAAAAGAGTAAAATAATGATAGCCATAAGTATGAAATCACTAAAAATCACCCAAGAGAAAAGGAAAAAAAAAACCTACTGCAAGGCATTGATCAGATCGTAAGGCCAATATTGTCTACCCGATAAAGGTTTCTCCTCGTCCTCTAAATCCATGTGAAAGATGTAACATTAAGACACAAACATTGAAATTAGGTAATTTAATTACTTCTCTTTGATTAGACAAGGGTTACCTCATCAAGAACAGCCAACGTTTCTAAATTGGGGCATTTTTGTAAATGCGCCAA